AAAACCGAACCGAAAGGAAAAAGTCGAGAAGCCGAAATGAGGAGTTTGGAAATAGCCTCGATCCTTGGGGACGTTAAACCTAGATAAAGATGTCCAAAAGGTTTTTCTTACAAAAAAAAATAAAAAATAAAAAAATAAAAAAAATAAAATAAAATAAAAAAATAAAAGGAATTGCTTGGGAAGTAGTTGATTTTGGAGTTCGTAGGAAGGAACGGGTTGGTGATTGACAACCGGAGGTGTTCACGATCACGGTTGGGTGACGGAATTGAGTTGAAGTTGTTTTTATCTAGCCACTTAGCCTATATGTATCCTACCGATCAAAAGAGCCTACATTACAACCCGAGAAGTCCTCTTGATTCATCGTTTCACGTTTTCGATTATTTTAGAGTAAAAGTTAGACGATTGGCAAATCTATGAATGATTGATTGATAACCAACTTGAGTGCACCTCTTTTATATTTACAAAAGAAACTGAGTGAGGCATATGATATATCTTCGTACTCGAGAGTCTTTGTCATTCGAAATAACTGAGTTCATGCTCGATGTGTGTTCTCGTGATCATTTGAATTCTTCGTGACTTGATTGATTGGTTTAAGATTGGTCTTGCTTGAACCGTTGTCCTTGCTCGTTTATTTGCTTTCTTTTGTTCTCTTTTCTTTTCTTTGTTCGGGACGAACAAAGATCTTAGTCTGGGGGAGTTGTTTGTCCCGTTTTTGTTGCTAATTTTGTTGCTATTTTGTGCTTTGTTTCCCCCGTTTTAGGTCTTTTCATAGGTCTTTTCGGTCCGTCTAGTCCTATATTATTCTTTTATCTTTATTTTAGGTTGTATAGTTTTTCCGTTGCTTTTTCTTCCTATTTTCTCTGTTTTTCGTGTTTTTCCGGTGGTGCGATTTCAGGTGTTAGTTTGATCGGGCTGAAGAGTGTCCATTCGTGATGAGAAGTGGATGGTTCGAGCAGCATTTGGCAGGACCCAAGCATGCGAGAATTAAGTTTTCAGCTCGGACAGTACCCGAGCAACGTAGCCGAGCATGCAAGCTGAAGAGAAAGAGGCAGATTTTTTGACCAACAGGACTTTAGCGCCGCTAAGGCCCTGTGGAAAGCGGCGCTTTTGGTTTCTTCGCGGACTGAGCCGGGCAGCTAACATGGCTTAGCGGCGCTAACCCCTTAGCGCCGCTAAGGTCCAGTTTGTAACTGCTGCGATTTTCTCGTGATTTCAAAAGGGGGAGGCTTATGATCGAACCTAGGGAGATTTGGGGACATATTCTGACTTCGTTTTTTTTGTCTTTTCATCTGGAGAACATATTTTTCACTTGGTTTCATCTTAGAATTGGATTTTGGAGCATAAAAACTCCTCTTCTAGCTTTGGATCTTGGATTGCTC